TCTCTATAGGAGTAAAAACTCCAGCCTTCTCCAGCCTTCTTACAGGAAGCTGCTGGTGGTTTCAAACAGTTGAACTTTAACAGGAGAGAGCAGCTTTTTATATTTGTACAACCAGTGACTAATGAAACATTGTATCCTGTGTGCCAAAAAGGGGGTAGGGAGGGGTCAGCAGCTCAAAGTTATTCCACCCAGACTCCTTGCAAAAGCAGATACCTACACTTTAACCTGAACTATGAACTATAGAACAACAATTTTTAATTGTTCTGGGAAATAGAAGCAGTGGGCCAAATAAGTCTGAGAACGTACACTGTACACAATTACACAGTTCAGCACTCACTGCTCAGTTTACTGTGCTGTGCATTGGTGTGATTCCAGAAGTGATACTGCTGGTATTCCAAATACCGCTAGGGTCACCCAGGGTAGATGTTTTTCTGTTAAATGTCTAGACTAGGGCAGACAGGGAAGAAGAAAGTACTAATCTAGTTCTGAAAAATAAGAGCTAGTGAAGTCCTTATGAATAGCAATGGAACAGGGGTTTAAATCGCGCCAGAAGATGATTCTGTTAGGTTGGAAAGTACTCAAAATATGACTAGAGAAAAGCTACCTTGGCAAAATAGAATCAGCCTAAATGACGTAGATGAAGTAAACTACAGGGAGGGATCTTCATACGATGATGTGCTATGGCTCTAAAGAAAAATAAACATTGGAAAACATCATTCAATAATCAGAATAGGAATGCACTAAGTATAAACCCAGAAAAATTGCAAGTGTCAAAAATGAAATGAAATGCTTGAAGATAGATAACCTAGATATTAGTGAGCTGTCATTTGCCACTTTGAATCAGACACTCTTATGATCTCCCATTACAGGAATGACAAACTGAAGAGGATTGGCATCAAATTCATCTTCAAAGGGAAACGTTCAAGATCTATTCTAAAATATAATGCTGTCAGAGATAGGATAATATCTATATGCTTACAAGGAAGACTAATAGCCAAATGTATGTGTAGTTTTACTAATTCCTTTAGTTTGAAGTTGTTTATAGGGGCAGAATTAGAGTGTGATCTTTCTAGGCAAAGTCTCTATGACGCTCATTAAATAAACTGTTTCTGCACCTGTCTGAGTAAGAAAGTAGGGGAAGGCATTGATAGGATTCACTGTTAATGGGTTTCGTTGGGTTGTCATCATGCTGGGAATAAAATGAGCCCTCTGAGAAGTAGGAGCAGAGGGAATCCTACTGCTAGCAAGAGAGAATAGGGGTGCGCATGCTCTCGACCCCAAGATTGCTGTGCAGTGAACCTCCAGGGTCCAGAAGACAGCTGTGACGTCAGAGGAAGGCAGCAGAATCCGGAGCCAGACATAAAACAGTGGTAGACTTCCAGGCCACAGAGCAAGTGAAGCTGAGTGTTTGGGGCAGGAGGTTGACTTGTGAAGTGGGGTACATTTGGGCACTTAATTTGGGTGAGCCAGCTTACAGATCTAGAGAGTCCGAGCTGAGTAACTGTGATTTGTGGCTTACAGCAGAGCGGCATGCCCTTTGGGCATTTATTGTCGTTGTCATTAGGTGGCATCTAGTCAGTTCCAACTCATAACAACCCTATGTGCAACAGAGGAAAATACCACCCTGTCCTGTACCATCCTCCTAACTGCTCTTATGTGTGAGCCCATTGCTGCACCACTGTGTTCATCCTTGTTGAGGGCCTTTCTCGTTTTGACTTCCCCAATACTTTACCAAGCATGATGTCTTTCTCTAGGGATTGGTCTTTCCTGATGACATGTTCAAATTATATGAGACAAAGTATCAGCATCCTTCTAAGAAGCACTCTGGTTATACCTCTTCCCAGAAGAATTTGTTTGTTATGACAGTTCATGGTACATTCAATATTTTTTGCCAGCACTATAATTCTAATGCATTGATTCGTTCAAATGTTCCTGATCCAATGTCCAACTTTCACATGCCTGAGAAGCAATTGAAAATACCATGGCTCGGGCCAGGTGCACCTTACTCCTAAAGTAGCTTCCTTACTTTTCAACACTTTAAAGAGGTCTTGTGTCACAGATTTATTCAAGGCAATGTGGCATTTGATTGCTTAACTCCTACTTCCATGAGTGTTGACTGTGTATCCAAACAAGACAGTACAATTCTTGACAACTCTAATCTTTTTCTCTTGAGTAATTATTAATAACCCTGAAAGAACATTGTATGATGTCCTAACTGAAAAACTATATCATGAGTATTTCTCAACTGCATTGCAACTTGTTGAGTCCCACAGTAAACCCTCTAACTGAGCTTGTCTGTAAGTTCTGAGTAGCCATTAAAATAAATTACAGAATCTAGAGGAAATAGTAGAGAATACTATTTGAGACAGAAGATTGATCAAATGTACAATCCAGATACATTGATGATTAGTGGCGATTGGAATGTGAAAGTTGGAAATGAAGATGACTAGTAGTCAGAAAAGATGGTCTTGGTGACAGACAAGACACCAGAGACCAGCAGGAAAGACTGTTATACTGTGGTAGCATAGTGGTTATGTGTTAAATTGCTACCTATAACATCAGCAGTCTGAAACCATCTTCCAGGAGATAGAAGAAATGGTCCACTCCTGCAAAGATGTACAGTCTCAGAAAACCACAGGGGCAGTTCCAGCCTGCCCTATAGCTATGCTATGAGTTGGAATTGATTCAATGACAGCAGGAACTAGTAACTTAGTTCTCTCTACTGCTCATGAATGGCAACTCCATATATGAACACTACTGAGTGAAACGTACAGGAAGCAAATCAACTGTATGTGTAGAAAAAGATAATAGAGCATCTCAATATTCTTTGTAAGAATAAGGCCTGGGGCCAATGGTGGCATAGGCCAACACTTGCTCCTACACAGGCTCACAGGGAAGATAATTAAAACAAGTTCAGAAGAATCAAAGTAGGATTTGAGCCTGTTCCAACTAAGTTTGAAAACTATCTCAAACATAGTTTTAACACACTGAACACTAGTGAATAAAGACCAGACCAATGTGGGAAAACATTTGGAAAAATCATATATTCAAAACGCAAAGTCATTAAACAGATAGAAGAAAAGAATTAGACCCAAATATATGTTTGAAGATACTTTGAAAAATGTTATTGCATGTAGAATTGCTAAAGTAAATAAAATAAAATTGTTGACCAGCAAATTTTAAAAGGTGGCTAGAAAAGACAAAAGAAAATGTGCCATGAGCTGCGATGGAAAACCAAAATGAAACACAGTGGTAGGCATTGCTCATGCTGAAGGAACTGAAGGAAAAACCGAACCTCAGATTGAAGTATTGATGGTCTCTATGCTTGGTTTCAAATCAGGAAAAATGTGTGCAACAGGGTTGACTACTTTCAGCATACCTATTCAGTGTACTTTCTGTTAAAAATATCATTTGAAAAGCTGGCCTCGATAAAGAATAGTATCAATACTGTAGGAAGACTCATTAACAACCTGCACTACGCAGATGGCACAATATGGCTTACTGAATGTGAAGAGAATTTCAAGAATTTACTAACGAAGATTAAAACTTCATTACTAGTTACACAATCAGCACAAACAATGGAAAAAAAAACCAAACAAACCAGAAAAAGTCCAAGTTGTCAAATATTAGATTTTACTTGGATCCACAAGCAATGTTCATGGAAATTAGCATTGAGAAATCAAATGGTGCTTTACATCGACTAAATCTGCTACCAGAGCACTCTGCACCATTGTCAAAGAGCAGAGATGCCACTGTAAGCACGTGCACCTTACCCAACTACCATGACTTCAATTGCCCGGGCAAGTGAATGCTAGAAAGTTAATAAGAAGGCTACAGGAGAGTTGATGCCTTTGAATCTGTACTACAGACTGTCAGTAGAATGAACAAAACTGCATTGGAAGGCCCACCAGCATGCTGCTTACAAGCCAGGATGTCTCCTGTACTTTGACCATGTTATCAGGAGAGATCAGTCTCTAGAGAAAGATGTCATTCTTGGTAAAGCACAGAGGTGGTGAAAAATAGGAGACCTTCAATGGGATGTATTGGCAGAGTGACTCAGACAGCACAGATCGTGAGGATGAAGCAGGATCAAGTTTTTGTTCCGTAGTACATTGCGTCACTATGACTCAATATGACTCCGAGCTCACTAGACTATATGTAACCCCAACAAACTCCAAAGATCACAATATTGCATGGAAAACCATGCTAACCTTTGAAAAGCTTCCTATGGTCAATTCTACATGAAAACCTTTGCATTCCCCTGACAAGCTGGCATAGAAAATACACTGAGCTGTTTCACAGTCGGTATCAATCACTTAGAGGAGCATCTCCATCTAATCATATGTTAATACTTCCCATTCAATAACTCAGTGTGGCCTTTGGAAGTAGAAAAATAGTTATTCTCTTTACATGGTTCCCTCTGCCATCTTGTTACAGTTACTTCCAATATGAGATAATTATAGTCAAGAGATAATTATCTGTGGAAATTTCAAATTATTATTCATAACAATTAAAATTATTCTTATTATAAACTTTAATTTTGGTGTACGTCAATAACTTTTATTTTCAGGAAACTATTTATAGAAGTTATAAAATATGCTTTTTCATGAACAAAAGAGCTTAAGAGAAGTAACATTTTCATGATTCTCAATTAGATTGAATAACATTTGTTTTTAACACTTAAAAATAATCATTAATGTAAATCACTAGTCATCCTCAAAATTATACAAATAGACCGATAATAAATGAATAAATAAAATTTCCCAGTAATATTTTTTTATCTTTTGTGTATATTGTGATTTTGTTTCATTATCCTGGCTTAGAAGTTAGTAATCATGAATTTTGGAGATATTTACTAATACGAGAATTCCTTCTGGGGGGAAAAAAAAAAAAGAGAGAGAGCCTTTAAAATTTTGTTGATTATTCTATACAGTTTGGTAAGTTGAAACACTTGCAGCTCTTCCATCCTTTTCCTGCAGTGATTTCAAAGCGGTACTCACCGTGTACAATGAGCACATACTCTGCGCTGCTTTGGCCAATGGTGTTTGTGGCTTCACATCGATAGGTGCCGTTATCCGTTTTGTTCAAGAAGAGAATATTTAACTCCCTCCCGCTCACGACCATTCGATCAGGGTCTGGTAATTCTCCTCCATCCTTTGTCCACAGAACGGGTTCTGGCCTATTGGATTCAAACATGCACACAGATAAGCAATATAAGGAAACTTACATATGCTGTAAAGTAACTAATAAACATTTCACATATTATTTGGCATAACCAAGTGCTAAATTCTAGAGGTACTAAACAAAACATCATCATGTGCCCACTTCAATAGGACATCGTTTTGTTGTTTTCTAATGAATTAAGAAGCTTCGCAATAAAGCAGTAATTTGTTAAGTTCATATAATAGTCATGCTTGTGCACGGTCTGTTATTCAGTCCCTGGTACTAATCATTTACAACGACTATATCTTTGGAAGAGAGTTTTGACCCCATTAGAGCCACCTCCTCAAGGTACCTTGGATTGCATGCCTTTGTGCCCACAACGGAGAAAGAGATCCCCGAAACTACCTGAATCTTCTATTAACCCTCTTGTTTTTCACTAACTTAGACATGTCCACCAAAACTCCTCTTTTAATAAAACATACTTTAAAAATTCTTTCTCAATTGCATTTAGGAATGAAATACAGGTAAATGAACCATGGGTGTTGGCTTTTAAGAATTTCAGTCTTTTATAATTCTCACTAGAACACTGTACTGGTTAATTTTTTTTAATTAATGCATATAAATATAAATCAGAGGAGTATTTAAACTCTAATATGATTCATGTGTCATGCTTCATCCATTCATCTGCTTTCAAGTAAGATGTATATTTTCCTGGTTCTTATCTATTAAAAATTTCTAATTTACATATAATTTATCACAGGGTTGAAAAACATTCTCAAAAGTGCTCTAGATATTTGTATTTTCTAAAATTAAAATATAATCTATATAATGTTATTATAAATAAAATTAAAACAAAGTTCTTGTTACATTATGCCTATAATTATGGCACCCCTCCTAAGAGTAACAATAATATATATATATATATATATATATATATAAATATATTTATTACCAAAAAGATTGTGAACCACATAATAACAAATATTAGAAAGAGTATCAGAGAAAGCATATTTTCAAGGTAATAAAATAATTGTTCAATGTAAGTAGTAACAAATAACAGTAACAAAATAATTGTTCAATGTAAGTAGTAAAAGCATTAAAGTGAAAACAAAGGTGATTTCATCAAAATTATACCCTTGACACCTCTGAGTGTTTAGTTGTACTCTAAACTCATGGGGGAAATTTGTTATACAATATATAGAAAGGAATAATTTTATATCCTTTAATTATGGAGACAAATATATAGAATCATTTTTAAAAAGACAAACTGCTAATGTTTTACAATTTGCTTCATATGCCCTACTAACCAGCTAAATATTATTTGAATTTGTTCATTTGCTGAAAACGGTTTCTCTGGTTCTCTCCTCTCACTCATCCAAACCCCAAGCGACAGAAATCCAGTTGATTCTGGCTCATAGTGAGACTCCACGGGGTTTCTGGACCTATGAATCTTTACGGATAATTCCACACGCAGCCTAAGGGTTTGGATAGTTGCCAGAGCAGATAGCGATCCTATGCTTAACCAATAGCGCCACCAGGACTCCTCACACACAGTCTTGAATCCTTTGAAGAGGCAAAGCAGTCAACAGAGCCATGTTTTACTGGATATAACTAAAGCAACAAAATTATATCCTTTCCACATCGCTACATAACTGCAACTAAAGCAAAAGCTCTGATAAAAATTATCTAAACTTTAGAAGATTCTGCTATTTAAAAAAAAATGAAACAAACTGCTGGGATCTACTAGGTTTGGACTCATAGTGCCCCAACGCGTAACCCACTAACCCCACCAGGTGTCTTTGTCTTTGTCTTGTCTCCGTCTCCATCTCCATCTCCCTCTCTCTCTACACAAGCGCGTGCGCATGTGCATGCGCACACACACGTTATAGCATGTGAGTAAAAATGTAGTTGGTGGCCTTAAAATACTCAAGCTAGAATACCTCTTTTCGGTGCTTGACACAATGATGTATGAATGGATTGTGATAAGAGCTGTAAGAGCCCCCAATAAAATGATTAAAAACAAAACAAGAAATAATACATCTTTTCCCTAAAAGATAAATAAGTAAATAAATTCTCCATTTCAGGAAATCGTGAAAAGATGGAGACCCGGAGGTTGTATTAGTCACGATTGGCACTAAACATTTCAAGATTCTTGATCCTCCGCTCTTTAGCAACTCTTCCAGGAGTCCGAAGGAGTTAGCACCCTGAGATGCAATTATAATGAAATGGAGGTTAGAGTTTGCACACAGATTAAAAACAGCCCACACATATATTCCCAATTAGTATTTAAAATGTTCAAGTTTCTTATTACCACCATAAAAATATTAAGCGGTTTAGCAAGTCTTGATACAACTTGTGTTTCATCTTCATAAAGCGAGCCCCTAGGCTTTCTCTAATTGGAAGTCAGAAATGATTGAGTTTCGTGCTGCAGATGAGTAACAATCTCCCCTGTTGTTCAGGCATCCGAAGGAGATCGTTTGGAAAAGGGTTCCAGTCTACAGTCTCCATGTGATAAGGCAGAAAAGAGGATGGGTTGGACACTTGGAGTAATTGAATGGAAAAAACATCACCGTAAGGAACCAGACATGAGATGGTCATGTCTGTCCTTCGGTGAGAACATTAATATAGTCAAAACCAGGAGCGTTCCTCTTTAAAGGGCTCACTAATTGAAAGTTTGACATTTCCATAAGAGGTTACATTTGATGTGTTTCTACTTGCCAAAGGTATACCATTAAAACAGTGTCTTATTTTTCTATGCAACTGTGAGCTTCATGGGCTGCAAGGAAGGCTCATACCTAACAATACAACAAGGATGGCACAAGGCCAACTGGTGTTTCAGTTGTACATAGAGCCACATTGAGCTGGAACTGACAGAAGTCCAGCGAACAATAGCGACAATATACACCTAAAATCACTTTTGGCAACATTTTCCTCCAAAGGCCAGAAAGGCCATTCAGAAAATAAAAATCGTCTTGTGGAAAACCCAGTCTGTGCAGAAACCCCAGTGGAAACTATGTGGAAAACCCAGTCTGTGCAGAAACCCCAGTGGAAACTATGTGGAATACCCAGTCTTGAAGGGCGTCTGTATTTTGGAAAGGAAAGAACCTGAAACATTTGAGGTCTTTATAATGACAAATTATGCCAGGATTACCAGGGTCTAATTCTCCCAACTGTGTGTGTGAACATTTGCTCCCTAGGAATTAAGAAGAATGAAAATTGCGTTGCCGTCTCAGTTCTCACCCTCTCTTTCAGGCCCGTGACTGAGCTCTGGAATGAGTAAGCAGTAGCAAAGGAAGAAGGAAATCCAACTGATGCCATGGTTTATTGGGTCAGCGCAGGGGCAGGGGAGTTGGGGAGAGATCTGTGGATGGGGAGCGGGGAGGGAACCTTCGAGCTGATTGTGATGAGGTATATGCAACTCTTTAGAAGCGGTTTAACTGTGGAAGCGTATGATATGTGAACATTATATTAATAAAACTACTTTTAAAAAAGAAAGAAACCAACTTGACCCACGGTTACCATGGGTGCAAGGAGGACGCATTTTTGCTCGGAGGCGACACCGAGTTCATTTTAATGGCGGTGGAACCGTTGGAGGATAGCGATAATGGTTGTACAGCATGGAGAGCGTAAATAAGCAACGGCACTGAATTGTACACAGGAAAGTTGTTGAATTGACGAATGTTCTGTCGTGTATATGTTTACCAGAATTGGGGGAAAAATCACATGAATAACAATGAGTATTGGGGAAGAGAAAGTGTGCTAAAGTTAATTGTGGTATAGATTGTACAGCTCCTTTTTATATGGCTGAATAACTGAATTGTATGATATGTGGATGAAGTGCCAATAAAACTGTTTGGTTTTTTTTAAGAGAAAAAAAAGGAAATCCCAGCAGAATTCCTCTACTGTTCTTGAGAGGTGAGCAAGAGTAAATTGTTAAATTTCAAAAAAACCCTTCCTTGTCCCAAGAGTCTCAAGTGACTGTCTCCTTTGGGTTCTGTACAGTCTTTTCCTTTTAAATCACAGTGCATGTTCACCAAATTTACGCTAAATAACAAAATACACTCATACAAAGTAATGTTATAAAATTTAAGCTCATTCCCTCACCCCCCAAAATGAATACTAAATAAAAGTCAATGTAAGGCACTCAAGTAAACAACATCTTCTATCTTGAAGTGAAAGAGAAACCTTCGAATAGTCCGATCTTAGATATATGGACATGAGGTATGTATCCCCAAAAGGTGTCTTTCAAGAACTAGGTGTTCTTACATGGCAAGAGGAGCTTCAAATGTGTGTTATGTATTGTGACGAATTGTATGAGCCCCAATAAATTGATTAAAAAAAAAAAAAAAAAGATGAAGTCCTATTGGGTCAGGGTGGGTCCTAATCTAATGACTGATGTGTTTATCAGACTTCAGCCTGGTTAAGAAACAAAGGAACACAAAAAGAAGGCTATCGTGTGCAAACCGTAACAAAGATTGCAGGGACACATGCCCCAGGCAAGCAGTGCTGAGACCGGTGAGTGGAACAGCCACCAGAGGCTCCGAGAGAAGCATGCAAAGTAACTTCTCTCAGAGACTCCAGAATGTGTTGACCTGATGTTAGACTCTGAGTCTCCACAGCACTGAGCGCATGTGTCTATCTTTTTAAGCCACCTAGTTTGTTTTTGTGTTGTTTTTCAGTCAGCCTACAAAATGAATAATATATTCATAAAACAAAAAGAATGACATATCCGTTATCTTAAGACATAGCAGAAACCTATAGTTAATTAGATTGTGCCTGTGTCTCATGTAACCACATGAAGGTGCTTAATACTGTTAACTCTGTTTAGTTCCACAGGTGAGAAGTGTACAAATGAAGTGTAAATAACATGAGCATCTTTTAAATGATACATTTCATTTATAGCTTCTATTATTTTCACGGGAGAGTTAGAGAATGTGGTACAAGCTGCACCTATATATTGGCCCATTTTTATGCTTTCAGCAAAAGCTCTTTTTTTTAATCATGTTATTGGGGGCT